TTAGTGTTTACAACTCTTTGTTAGTGAATGCTCTAGTATACTGTGGTATTAACTAGTGAACTAGAATAAATAGTGTAATAAATACTGCAGTGTACATTAGTTTTTACTACAGCTGTTTTATAAAACCTATAGTTGTAGAAAACTATAGTATGGGTCATTTGTTTATACTACTAAAGTAGTTGTGTTACCATAGCAACTATAGTATCACCACAACAGATCAATTACTATAGTTGTTGAGTTACCATAGCAACTGTGGAATCACCACAACAGATCAATTTAGTTACTTTACTATAGTTGTTGTGTTGCCATAGCGACTGTGGAATCACCACAACAGATTACTATAGTTGTTGTGTTACCATAGCAACTATAGAATCACCACAACAGATCAATTACTGAAGTTGTTGTGTTACCATAGCAACTTGGGAATCACCACAACAGATCAATTACTATAGTTGTTGTGTTACCATAGCAACTGTGAAATCACCACAGCAGATCAATTACAATTGTTGTGTTACCATAGCAACTATACAATCATCTCAACAGATCAATTACTATAGTTGTTGTTACTATAGCAACTGTAGAATCCCAACATATAAATTTTTATTGTTGTTGGGTTACCATAGCGACTGTGGAATCACCACAACAGATCAATTATTATAGTAAGTGTGTTACCATAGCAACTATACAATCACAACAGATCAATTACAATAGTTGTGTTACCATAGCAACTATACAATCACCACAACAGATCAATTACTATAGTTAGTGTGTTACCATCGCAACTGTAGAATCCCCATAACATTTTTATTGCTGTTGGGTTACCATAGCGACTGTGGAATCACCACAACAGATCAATTATTATAGTTGTTGTGTTACCATAGCAACTACAAAATCACCACACCAGATCAATTACTATAGTTAGTGTGTTACCATCGCAACTACATAATTACCACAATAGATCAATTTAAATTACTACTTAATGTTGTTTATTTGCACTAAAACACAGTTAAGGATGAGGTGCCCTCTGGTGGCCAAGAGCTGAACTCAGATCTGCTAAACAGGAGAGACATTTCTACACTTTTGCTCCTTTAGCCGCTATATCTGTAATTTTTAGACATTTGTCAGGTTTTTGTCCTCAAACTGCTCCTGTGTGCAGCAGCAGTTTCTCCCACAGCTCCTCCAAAGCCATCTGCTGTGTTTTGATATGATTTCTGGCTCTTGTAGCAGTGAAACAACTCAAATCATTCAGTGTAGTGATATATGGAGCTGTGATGGGCTCAAAACCTGCCGGAACTACTTTTACCTGTGCGTTTATCTGCCAATAATTAAGTGAAGTTTCTCAAACTAATTTCGAGAGGAGCACGTGATAGGATTGACTACAGCTGATCCCTATCACTAATCACCAACTAGCCAATCGGATCACTCTAAATTCACTATAAATATCCAGCCTAAACTTCAATCCTCATCTTCGATTTGGAAACCCCCCCCTATCCATCCCTTCTCCCTCCTCCTCAGTTCAAGCGACACAGTGGCTTGGTGGCTAGCACTGTTGCCCCACAGCAAGGACGTCATTGGTTCAACACTAGCTGAGCCAACCGATACTCTCTGTGCGGAGTTTGCATGTTCTCCCCGTGTTCGTATTGGTTTTCCCCGGGTACTCCGGTTTCCTCCCACACTCAAAAACTATGCAACAAAAGTTAAAGTCACAAGCACTAACTACAAATTGGCACAGCTAGTGATCTATTTTGGGAAGCTATCGAGAACTACCTGATCTCATATCCCTCCAAATGCTTATTGACCAGGCGGGAGCCTTGGGCTCATCTATCACCGAGCTCAGGGTTCTCTCCCGGGACAGCATGCCAAACTAGCTTAAATAGTCAAGCATTATCTAAGTGTGAACTCTTGAAACACCTTAGAGCAGGGGTGCCATTATATGGCTCCAACCCAAACCAAACACACCTGAACCAGCCAATCAAGCTCTTACTAGGTATACTAGGTATAACCTCCGGGTAGATGTGTTGAAGCAAGTTGGAGCTACACTCAGGACCGAGTATGGACTACCCTGCCTTAGAGTGACCATCAGCCAATCAGAATCAAGCATTCAATAAAAAAGATAATTTATGCTGAAATAATCCCCCAAAAATGCAAGAAATCGACACGTTGTGCTTTCGTTTTTTTTTTCATTGCAATGTCTTTATTATCTTTTCCAGTTTCAAATGTGAAAAGAGGCATTAATTTCTCTTAATTAAATACTTAAAGCAAAAAAAGAGAAATATTTACATAATTTCATTAAACTATAATCAATAATAACTAGAGGAGGATAATTGTACAAGCCGGGTGTGGTTAAACCGCCCAAAAAAAAAAAAAAGGAAAAAAAAAAAAGCCAAAAATTAATACATGGCATTAAAGTTAGCATTTTTATTATCGAAAAAAACAAACAAAACAAAAGTCATATTTACAGGACGCTCCTGAATTGCATCTTCAGGCAGCAGAAAGGCATGTAGTTTTTGTATTCTCTCATTCTCCAGCTTTTCCGTATGTTTTTTTTTAAACACTTTAAGAGTTTATTTCTATATATATCTTCAAGTCGTAATGATTTGTGTTTGTAAAGTCCACTACAGGCTCACGTCCTGGTCCTCCTGAAGTCTCTGCTCTCATTTTTATTTTATTTTTTTGAAGTTTTCTCCACGTACGTGATGTGTACAATGAACCGTTCAGCCAGCAGTAGCAGCAGCAGCAGCAAAAAGGTCAAAGTTTAGAGTTTCTAGCAAGTTTTTTCAGCATGTGCGTCGCCAAGAAGAGCCGCAACCAAACAACCGAAACCCGCAGCTCTGAAACAGGCGATGCAGCTTGCATTGATGTATTTAGATTTTCCATCATAGATAAAAAAACGTAGAAAAAAAGAGCTCAAATCACTCCACTAGAACTAAACAAACAAAAAATAATAATAAGCGAAAAATAAAATGAAATAAACCGATCCTCCTCGGTCACAGCAACACGCACACAATCAGCCGCTTCACGCCAAACCAGACGAATATAAAGATCTGAAAAGGAAAAATAGAACTCTGAGCAACTTTCGCAGTTCCGTGTGATGTCATCGGCAGCGTCCGTCTCCATAGCAACAGGGTGCGAGCAGCAAATCTAACGGCTAAAAACTCCAGAAAGGTAAGGCTTGTCATCCTCTAATACTTTCATTATCGCGTTTATTCAGTTTCAGTTTCAACGGCAAATTCTCTCACGCAAAAAAATAATAGGAATAAAAAATAACGACGAATAAAAAAACTAAAAAGTAAAAATTCCCTGTTCAAAAATCTCCAAAATATATAGTTTTTTTCTTTTGCTCTTGGGCGGGGCCAGGGATCTAGCTGTATTCTTATTCGTCTTCTCTCGCGCAAAAGACAAATAAAAATAAAAATACCGACGGAAAAAAAATAAACAGTAAAAATTCAGTGTTCAAAACCTCCAAAATATATGTTTTCTTTCACTCCTCATGTCAATCATTCACTGTAGTGGGTGGGGCCAGGGTTCTAGCTGTTATCTGATTCGTCCTCTTTTGCACAACAAAAAAATACAAATAAAAAAACTGCCAAAATTCACTGTATTCGAAAATTTGCTATGTATATATATTTTTTTCTTTCTTGTGGTCTGCATGTCAATCATTCTGTGTAGAGGGCGGGGCTAGGGATCTAGTTGTTGTCTGATTTGCCGTCTTTTGCGCAACAAAAAAATACGAAAAAATAACCCTTATCAAAAATTCACTGTATTTAAAAATTTCCTACATATATATATTTTTTCTTTTGCTCGTCATATAAATCATTCTGTGTAGTAGGCGGGGCCAGGGATCTAGCAGTTATCTGATTCGACATCTTTTGTACAACAAAAAAATAAGAAAAAAAAAAACCTGCAAAAATTTGCTATATAATTTTTTTATTTCGCTCTTCATGTCAATCATTCTATGTAGTGGGCGGGGCTAGGGATCTAATTGTTGTCTGATTCGTCTTCTTTTGCGTAACAAATAAAAAAAAAACCCTCATCAAAAGTTCACTGTATTTGAAAATTCCCATATTTAAATTTTTTTCTTTTGCTCGTCATGTAAATCATTCTGTGTAGTGGGCGGGGCCAGGGATCTAGCGATTATCTGATAAGTCTTCTTTTGCACAACAAAAAAATTTGGGAAAAAAAGTCAGCAAAAATAACTGTATTCGAAAATTTCCCATAAATATATATATTT